CTCAAAATGTTAAAAAAAAAAAAAAAAAATGCTGAGGATATAGGTTAGTGCAAAAGGCCCTGAATTCAATTCCTAGTACCAAAAGAAAGTAGGAAAGAAAGCAATAAAGTATCTATCAAGTGTTGAGCTGACCAGAAGTGCTGGGCTGAGAGGCTATGCGCAGAGGGGTAGGAAGGACCCAGCAGTGGGTATGATGCAGACTAATCAGGGCAAATAGGTAATAGACTTGAACCTTCAGACACCAAGCCAATCTGGTCTGTGAAGAGTTCTGAAGCTTATCAGGTGAAATGGTTCAAATGAACTATTGGTAAAAGGACTCAAATTTTCTTCACCCTGTTCCGCAATATACCCTTTCATCCAGCAAAACTAACAAGTTTGGAGCTAAGGATTTGTCTCAGTGGTTCCACCGCCTGCCTCACAAAGTGCTAAGGGCCCAAATTCAATCCCCAATACCAAAAAACAAACCGGCAAGTTGGTAAATTTTGGGCAGCCCAGGCATAAACTGAAGTACACCATGGAGAGACAAAAGGTACAGACAGCAGCTGGAAAACTACCTAAACAAAGAAGCAGTTTGTTTTGTTTTGTTTTTTTTTGACACATGATCTCGCTATATAGGTCAGTCTGACCCTAAACACACTGGCGTGATCCTCCTGCCTCATCCTCCAGAGTTCTGGGATTATAGGTGTGTGCCACCAGGCCCAGAATAAAGAAGCCGTTCTAACACGTGTAGGGGAGTGCTAACAATAGGAATGAAAGATGGGGCAAACCAAAGCCAAAAAGTTTGGGGCTGGGTGGGCAGGCTAAAGAAAAGGATGGTTGAGGAGGAAGCACAGTGAATCCAGGAAAGGGCTAGAAGCAAATGAGAGCAGAAATGCTGACTAGTAACTAGGAAAGGGGTCAGACTGAAGGGAGCTACATGGGGACCAGTAAGTGAGGGGAAAGTGCTAGCGACTGAGTGTGGAAGAAGAAAGCTGCTTGTCCTGTAACCATACAGGGCACAGCAAGGGTTCAAAAACACAGGGGCTGGGAATTTAACTCGGTGGTCCTGCCCTCTGCCTTGTAAGCACAAGGTTCCAAGTTTGATCCCCAGTACCAAAAAAATAAATAAATACAGGATTTGACGTATAGCTTAATGGTAGAGCAATTGCCTAGCATGTGCAGGGCCCTGAGTTGCATCTCCAGCCCAAGAATAAAATTAAATGACTTTTAATTTAAGAATAAAATTATAGGGCCGGGGATTTAGCTCAGTGGTTCCACCACCTGTCTCGCAAGCACAAGGACCCGAGTTCGATCCCGGTTATGAGAATAAATAAAATTATAGAATGACTATGGAAGAAGCAGCCAATGAAGAAAACAAAAGGAATAATTGAAGCAGCTGGAAAGAAATCAGGATAGTTCCCTAAGGAGAATGCCCCAAAGAGAAAGTAGGAGAAAAGTTTCAAGCTGATGGAGTGACAATAATATTTGTGTTTTGTTTTGAGACAGAGTCTAGGTCTAATTCAGGCTGACCTTGAACTCACTATGTAGCCCAGGCTGGTCTCAAACTTGTGGTGATCCTCCTGCCTCAGCCTCCCGAATGCTGGGATTACAAGCGTGCACCTAGCTAATTTTTAAATTTTGAGACAAGACCTCACTAAGTCATATAGTCTAGGCTCCAATTTAAAGTCCTCCTGTCTCAGACTCCCGGACTTCAGGAATTACAGCCAGGTGCCGGCACACCCAGCTGTAAATATTATGTATATGCTAAAACACAAAAATATACATGTTGGGCTGGGGATTTAGCTCAGTGGTTCTACCGCCTGTCTTGCGAGCACAAGGTCCCGAGTTTGATCCCCAGTACAAAAAAAAATAGATAGATAGATAGATAGATAGATAGACATATAGATGTTAACAATTAAGATAAAATAGATTGAGGGACTGCAGGGTGTGGTGGCGCACTCCTGTAATCCCAGCACTTGGGAGGCTGAGGCAGGAGGATTGAGTTCGAGACCAGCCTCAGCTACATAGTGAGTTCCAGGGCAGTCTCAACTAACTACATAGTGAGACCCTGTCTCAAAAAAGCAAAAACAAAAAAATATATTAAGGGGCTGGAGTAATGGTAGAGTACTTGCCTTGCACACATGAGGTCCTGAATTGGATGACTACCACCCAAAAATTCAAAATGTAAATTCAACAGTTTCTGCTACCCCTCCCCCATTACTTTAGAGACCAAGGGCATTCTGGGTAAGACATTCAGTGGGTCTGGACTCAATGTGCTTGGAGAGATAGAGGAGTCAGACAGCAGTAAGAGGGGATGGCCTGGGAGCTGAGAAAGTGGAGACAGGAGTGTAGATGTTGGAATACTTGAAAGTGCAAAGGAGGCAAAGAAATCAGACCAAACCTTGATGTGGGGCAGGGGAGCTTCAGGTTAGACTATTTCATTTGGTGTTTTTGAAAAGAAGCTCACTGAAGGTAGGATAATTAGGAACCAGCAAGAAGAGGAAAAAAGGTTCAAGTAAGAGAGAAAGACGGGTGGAAGAGGGGATTTGATGGCTCACACCTATAATCCTAGCATTTGCAAGGTTGAAACAAGGATTGCAGCGAGTTTGAGGCCAGCCTGGGCTGCATAGTGAGTTCAAGGCCAGCCTGAACTGCATAGTGAGACCCTGTCTAAACAAACAAAAAGTCTGCTATTCTCTGGCTGCTTTGGAAAAGAATGCAGCTTTTGTGCAGACCCATCCCTGCTTCTGCCTCCTGCCACAGGGCTGACTTCTGACATACAGCCCTCCTGTAAACATCACCCAAAGAAAGAAGTTAACAAGAAACTGGTGGCAACAAACTTCAGCTTGGCGTTTGGGACAACTGCCCATGGCTGCTGGACTGAGGAGGAAGGAGAAAGGAAGGAAGTCCAGGAAGACTTGTCTGTCACCCCAGCTGTGCCTGTCACTTCAGACTTTATGGGGAAGAGAACAGGCAGCAGAAAGGATGGAGGAGAGAGCCACGCTCGAGGTGGACACGAGCCTCCTTCCCTTCCTCTCTCCTGCCCTCTTGTGCCAGCTGTGAGGGTTCTGAGAGGACTTTGCTTTTCTGTTAACCCCCGGACCTTGTGTCCACTGGAGTGGGGACAGGACGACCAGTCACCAGCCTCCTGCTGTCAAGG